CGTCTCTTTAATTGGCCTCGGTAGAGCACTGTAGCTGTCCCTTTAAGAGACTCAGGTAGACTGTTGTGCCAGTCTGTTTTTAATTGGCTGGGGAGAAACTGTGTACCTGTCTCTTTAAATGCCTGTTTATTGCCTCTGGAACTGACAGGCCCACACCGGTCATCTCCCTACTCTTTTCTAAACTGCCTGCATTGTTCTCTTTCTCCCAGCTCCCACTCTCTCTTCTACACTTGTCTGTCTCATTCTGGCTTTGAATGTCATCTGCCTGCTCTCCAGATGCCTTATTCATTATCGGAGATGCTGTACCTCTAGCTCATCCCACCTTCTCTCCACTTTTTTGCTCCCTCTGGCTATGTTCGGAAAGCCACACTATACTGTCTTTGAGTATGTGTACAGTATACAAATTTTCTGATGTGCAAACTGTGCAGTAAAAAAAATAGAGTGCACTATTTGCAATTGCATTACTTTTTCTTCACTATATTATTTTTGGTTGACCTTTTTTCCAATTTGCATTTGTTGTACATTTACTCATTTAACAGTTGCTTTTATCCAGAGTGACTTACAAATGGGAAACACAACAAAGGACCGGAAAATGACTTGAGCAAGGATATGTTCAATTTATTATAAGTGACAGTGAAGATTTTTCCATTGTTACAAAAGATTTCCATTTCAAAAAATGTATCATGGTTTTCACAAAAGCACAACTGTATTCAACATTGATAATAAAGAGAAATGAGCACCAAAATATCACCAAATATTCATTCAGCTTTGCCATCAGGAATAAATTAAATTTTAAAATACACTACAGTAGATTGCCTCTGGCGCTGTAAATACATAACAGCTGTTTTAAACTGTAATAATATTTGAGAATATTACTGTTTTTGCTGTATTTTTAATCCAATAAGTGCAGCCTTGGTGAGCATAAGAGATTTATTTCAAAACATTCAAAAAATCTTATCGAGCACAAACTTTTGAACACTGTAATGTGCAATACTCTTGTATACCAATCATCTTTTTGGTTCATCCCTGCTTCCAAAGCATGAAACCATAAAAACCATCTTCTCTTTCTGTCGCCTGGAGAAGCACCTAAGGCTTGTTGTCAATAACTCTAAATCAGTCACAGTGTCAGCCAACTGGCTTAGGTTTTTTTGATTATTCATATAGTGTGTACCATTAAAGGCCCCATAAAACTGCTTGACAGGTGCATTTTTCTTTCCTGATGTATTTTCTATTGAAGCAGAAAGTTGGGGTGGGACAAATCGAATCGCTCATTCTTTTACAGTAATTTACAGCTAGTTAATTTTCGCTGTAGCACATAGATGACCTTACCATTAATAGACAGACTAATAGCCACAAAACTTAAATTATGATATAGCATTCCTGTAACTCAAACAGCAGAGCATGAGGCTCACGACATCCAGGTCATGGGTTTGATTCCCAGGGTAAGCATGAACTGATTAAAAAATAAAATAATGTATACTTTAAATGCAATTTAAGTTGTTTTGGATAAAAGCGTCTGCCAAATGCATATATGAAAAAAGTAAAACATTTGTGGAGTCTAATCTTTTCCTCTTTTGATGTTACACACATCACGTCCTGCACTACTGGCCTCTGTGTTTGGATTTGTTCTGTGTAATAAAATTCTGAGGTGTTACCTGTCCTGATTTGTCTCTGCACTTGTCAACATTATAGCAGATCTTTTCAAATCTCAAAGCCCACGTGGGCTCATCTCCAAAGAAGCTCTCGCATTCACTCATTACTTCTCTTCCCTCCTGTCCATGTCTCCTTATGCAACCTTTAGCACTATGACTCAGTTGCTAAGTTCTTTCTTTCGTTCTTTTTTCCTTCTTCTGCTCAGCTATTTGCCATCTGCTGCCTAAAGCGGTGCTCTTGTCCTTTTTTGTTTTATCACCCTGCTAATCATCCATTAGGTCTCCTTAAACACACAGACTGGCGAGATGCTTACATCGCTAACAGCAAAAAAGAAACAATATGGTGTAGTTACAGAATGTACCAGCAGAGGCTAATTGAACCATGCTGACCAGCCAAACCCTGACCCATTGATAAACACACAGAGTTTCATTCACTCGCTTTAAGTGAGTTTCATTCATGCATTATTAGGGTGACCATACATCCTCTTTTTCCTGCACACGTCCTCATTTCAGACCTAAGAAATTGCGTCCGGCCAGGATTTCTAAATCGCCCAAAATGTCCGGGATTCGGCTTTTGCTTTCTACAGTCACCATTCATTGTGTGTGTTTTTGTTTTAGAGCCCTGCGAGGGACTGTTTTTTTTATCTCGCTCCCGCTGAATTTCTGACCATTATCGCCCGCTCCCTTGATTTTTGTGTCCAGTCCCGCCCGCTCCCGCAAACATTCTAATATTGTATATAATTTTCACGCATCAGGGAGCCGCCATCAATATGTGGAGTATTTAAATCTCTTTTGAATGAGCCCTCGCTGTTCACTTTCACTTCGATTTCGCGATCACACGCGTTCTGCATAAAATAAGATCAGATATTTGTCAATGAGCTAAGGATCTGTTGAGCAGCAAATCCTCCAGCATGATCTGTCAGTCATCTCTCCTCTCAACCCCGTGATCAGTCAAATCTGACTCCTGCAGCTCGTGTTGGATGCAGGGTTGTCAAGTCCACTTTTTTTTTTTT